ATCTGAATGCCTGTTGGATCAAAACAGAAGATAAATATGACAAAGCTTTATATAAAGGAAAAAACACAGGTCAAGGTAAAGATTCCATCAGCCATAAAATCTTTAAACAATACATGGTTCAGAGTAAATGAGCATATTGTGTCTACCTACTATAAGAAATTTACTGGTAGAAAATAAGGCTTTATTTTCACATTTTTATATTTCAATAATTACAGGCTATCTAAAAAACCGTACAAATGCAAAATAAGTAAAACCAGTTTATTGCAAAAATAACTTAAAGCGGCTTACACGGTTTTTACAAAATTGTAAAATATAAATGGTCATTTTGCAATAACTGTCTATTCCTCCGAAATGGTAAATACACAAAAAAAAAACTTTGAATTCGAGTTCATTAGTAAAAGTAAGTAACTGCTACTGATTAAATTCCTACTCCATTTAATCTTGATCAATCTCGAAATCAGGATTTAACCCAATTCCTTCCAAATCATATCTATAATATTCCTATCATATTCCTACAATATTTTGCTGACCAGAATTTTGACTAACAAACAACAGTTCCAATATTTTATATAATGAACAACTGGTTTCGTTATTTGATCAATGCAATTTTTTTGTCAGCATTTATGGCACCAACATTCAAGTAATCGCAAAACATATTGTTACCTTTTCGGTGCACTATCTGCGATAAAAGGAATTTAAAAATTTCTTTAATCAATTGCCGAGCAGACAACACAGAAAATTCACAGTTTTAAATAATATACTTTCGTATTTTACCGTTAAAGATAAAGCCTCTAGTTTGGTGAAATTTTATTTATTTAAATAAAATTGTGATATTAGCGTAATAATAAATTTCTTTCTTTTAATAAGTCAAAATAAAGATTTGTTCAATCTAATATCTTGCATCTGGTGCACACAATGAAAAGACCCTTACAAAAATTTGCAACGAGCGTCTAACCCACATATTTATAATGAAAACATGGGTTAGACTATTTTTACAAATTTCTGTTCTCATATTATTTGACGAATGTGGTTTAGAACTTCGTTCACAAACGCCTCCATGAGTTTTAATATGGCTTATATCATTTTTGCTTGATGTAGTATGCAATATGATCAACAGTTTAACATGTCTAACCTTATTTGTAAACAAATGTGAGTTAGACGGTTGTTGCAAAACACAGACCACATAATGAATGATTTCTTCCCTGATGAATGGAAGATGGGTATTAATACTAACAACAAATGACCTCAAAATTACTATTCAATCACTCTTCTCCTAATAATAGGAAACATTTTTGAGAAAATTATCCAAGGAAGATTATTTGAAGAATTAAACCAACATATTACAGCACACCAGTTTGGATTTAAAGAGAAATAATTAACAATCCATCCTCTTTAATAGTAACATCCAATGTAGAGGCAACAAAATTACAAGGACTGCAGACTGCCAGACTTTGACTCTGTTTGGCATAAAAGTTTAAAAAAAACTATCAATATGTTTTGTTAATGTCCTTTCCAATACTTTGATAGATACCTTGGAATAGAATATGTAAACTAAGAAATTTAAAGATTTGTTTAACAAAAGATGAAAAAAAAAACATAGCAAAATTAATCAAAATAAAATAATAGTAATATCACCTAATTGTTTATTGTGACAAATGAGATCATGATAAAAACCATAAAATTTGTCAAAGATAATAAGTACATGAGTTTTCAATATCAATTTTGTAGAACTATGACTGGACTAACTTTTTACTCAGTTGTTTACTACTAGAAAGTTGTTATTCTGAATAAAATCACTTAAGTACATAATACATAAAAAACTGCTCATGCTAGATTCAAACATACTCAGTAGCTGATTATACCTTATTTTCAGATCATAGAATACAATGCAAAATGTTAACAGATTAATGCTACAGATCTTATATCTACAACATTGAGGAATCTATTCACTCATGACTCAAAACAATTTTGGAACCATTTAAACTATTTGGATAAAAGCCACGGAATTCCAAATGTCATGCATTTTAACAACTTGTTAGCTGAATCAAGTGAGGAAATAGCAAACTTGTTTGTGAACCATTTCTCTAGTGTCTATTGCTCAGTAAAAGTTAACTTCAATTTTAAGTTTAAGTAAACAATTATGTTGACATTCTATTTATCCAATTTTCACTTTCTGAAGTTTTTTGAGTCTATAAATGGTGTAAAGGATAAACTGAGTTATGGCCCTGATAATATTCCTACATATCTCTTAAAAAGATGTGTCTACAGTCTATCCAAACCTTTACATGTATTATTTAATTTATCTTTGAGACTACACACCTTCCCTAGTGACATGACAGTTATATAACTTCTGTATTTAAAAACAGTAACAGAGACAATATAAAAAATTATAGGCCTGTTGTTACGTTATCTGCCATCCCTAAAGTTTTTGAACTAATTCTAAACAAATACCTTACTTGGCATTGTAGAAATCTCTTGATTAATGAGGAACATAGATTTAGAGTGTTATTTGACAGTTCCTTGTCATTTATCCCCCATATCAACAATTTGTCAAATAAAGTTTGGTTATATAGTATGGTTACCGTACTATTTTAACCATATTCACACCCTTGAAAAAATTCAATTCTCCAGATTTGTGCTTATAGATTAAACTTAAGGAACATGTCTTCTGTAGAACTAAGGTCAAGGCTAAATTTCAGTTCCTTAGAAGACTACAGAACTAAATGTGATCTAGTTTTTTCCATAAACTACTTGATGTAACTACTAACTTTAGATGTAAGACTAGAATTCTTAGACATGCCTTTGTTTTCTATAAAACACTATCACACTAACTTTGGCAAATTCTGTCCTATTAACAGGATTCAGATCCTGGGAAATAACTTAAACCAATCTCATGATCTGGTGGATATAAAATCTGTAATATTTAAGTACTGTTTGACTGAGTATGTTAGGAATCAAAGATAAGTGACATTTAACTTGGAGTATTCATTTTATTAAGATCATTTCATTTTATTTTATTAAGATCATTTCATTTTATTAAGATCTTCAGGAAATTTAATTTAATTTACTTAATTTAATGATTTGTTTAACAATAATTATTTAATCATTATTTAATATTTAGTTTTAGTATGTGCTTGTATTATGGTTAGCATATTTTATTTTTGTTAAATTTTGTAAAAATGGGGACATCCCGTAAATAAATAAATATATAAAAATAATGATATAAACTCAGTTCTGCTTTTAACTGAGGACAAATCTTGGATCACATTCATAAAACTTAAAGATACTAATTGAAATATCCACCATTTCACTGATTTTATCCAATGAGTGAAATCAATGATACAATGATTTTATCCAATACAGATACATTTTATCCAGATACAGGCAAATTATAATTTTAAATGCAGACTTATGTTTTTTAATTCACTACGCACATGCATCTAGTTTCACTAGTAAATAAAAAATATTCAATACAGAAGTTTTTACTTAATTTAACTTCCTAGTAGCCATTATGTACAGTTTGTTTTTAAAGATTTCATTATAAATTAAATAGCAATATTGTATTCTGTCTATTGTGGTTCAATATGTTTATCAGTATGTGTAAGGTCAATTATAATTAACAAATATATAATTATAATTGACTTTTTGCATTTTTTATAACTTAAATTTGCATTTTTGGCATATAAATATCCATGATTTCAATGTATTTATAATTTAATTGCGATTGATTAACTTTAATATAGAAAATAATATATTTTCTCCACCATTCGTAATTTGATTACAGTTTCATCTTACTTCAGTGATTTTTAATATCAAATAAGCCAAAATAGTTAAATAGACAATATATAGAACAAAAGAAGGTACTTAAGTACATGATCTTCAAAAATGCTCATTCCCAAAAACGCCTACATTGTATTTTCTAATTTCTGGTCTCAATGTAAAAACTTGACTAGAGATTGTTAGAAAGCTGGAATCCAAACAATTCTGGAATTTTTTAAACTCATTTAGAAAAAGCTATGGGATGCCCAATAATTTGTTCTTAGATGAGTTCTATGTTCTTAGTACTATGATACTGACTCTGGAATTGCTAACCTTTTTGCATCTCTTATTTCTTCTGTTTACATCAATGAAGACCTGAATGTTTATTTATTTTTTTTTTATTTATTGACAGGATGTCCCCATTTTTAAATGTGTACTGTAAATACATCTTCTGTAAAAATTATGAAAAGAATGGGGCAACCTTATTGAATAGATTTAAGTCTGAATGTCGTTCTGAGTAAAGAGTAAACTCTACCAAATTCTGAATATAAGTATAATGGCAAATGCAAAATATCAAGGAAAATAATTATGCAAATGTTTGAAATTTGATGAAAATATCTTATATGATTTTGTATATAATTAAATCATTAATTGACAAATGTTTTTCATGTTCTGGAAAAGTTGTAATCAAAATAATTCACAGAATTGAATTTTCATATCAAACTAGAGTTTTACTAAATTATCTAAACTAGTTTTATGATTACTGAACAGCTGAAAAATTTACTTTTCTATCATTTTACCTATTTTTTAAAAACATTTTGCATGAACTTGGATTATCTTCATGTGCTGCACATGAGTTGAGTTTTGGTTACTGTTGTAAGGGTAATGAACTCATGTCAGATCTGGATTATAATTTCTGAAGGTAATGGATTCTTAATATTATTTCGTATCTAAGTGGACCTGAAGTTAACTTATGTTTTTTTTTTAATAATATTGCGGACTGACTTTGAGATGTTTGTATTTGTAATGTGTATAGATATGCTAATACTCTGGTCTATAAATAAAAAATGATGATGTCCTCATAAGTGTGTATCATACCACATAATATTATTTATCATATATAAATATTACTAAAAGATCATAAGCAATAAAAAATAACTTGGATGACGATTTCAAAGACATAACTTGCAAGGCCACTGGCAAGGTAACAATGTCCTGAAATGTCATTCAGTCATTCTCACCTGTGCTAGCAAATTCATCGGGGGTTCTGCCCCCTGCCATAAGCCACTTGCACCAATCTATTGTTTCCCATTCTTCAATAGACTTCTGGGGGTTCAGCAAATTATCCAAAACTTCATTTAAGTGTTGCGGATTTCTCTCGTTGGAGCAATCGGCATGAATGTAAGTAGCTGTGGCCCTTTTCCCCTTTGCCATCAACACTTTCGGGTCACAACTCGATGTTGAGGCCATTATGATCACTAGAAAGTCATGTCATATGAAAATTTCACTGAAAATCTATTCAAATGACGTACGAAACAAAAAACTTTCCCGTTCGCGTATCTCATTCATTAACAACACTCTCTCTCGTCACTCGTCACCGATCAAATACAGTTATGACAATGTCGAACGTAGGCAACCGTAAAACAAAATCACTAGATAAATGACATTTTTGACAGACAGAGTAGCCAATCACAGTGTAATTAGAGAGCATAGAATACGGTTTACTGATAGAACACATATAAAATGTTTTGTGTTTGTTATTAGCCGCATGGCACAGAATAATAAACAATCAGAATGCCTACTGTGCTGAAAAAATGTGTACGCGCATCTTGTTCACGCAGACAGAATCAGCCATGTTTTATTCGGAACCAGTGCTGTTCAGTGGCATTTTATCTGGTGTACATAGATAAATTAACCTGGTTTAATTTATTTTCAGCAACTATTTTTATTCGTACTTTTAGTTGAAGAATAGATTAAATTATTTTAAATGTACTAAATTATTAATCTCTAAAAATTTAAATTACAGTTCTGTCGTAGCTTGTCACAAATTTCTCAATTCCAGTCTATGTTTCCGTCTAAAATATGGGCATTCTGATTGTTATTTATTCTGTGCTCATATAAATATGGTTAAAATTGCGTCATGAATTGAAACATAATGTGATAGTAAAAATAACTTTTTATAATAAGACTGCACATGATACAAAATAATAAAACAAAAAACACAGTTAACAAGGTTAAAATAAATAATGCCTGGTTGCACCAACATATTAAGCTTAAGACAGTTTTACATTATGCTATTTTCATGCTAGGCAAGAGCCATGCAAGACAGATCATGGAACTGCGCATGCCCACGGGCTATTTCCATGCAATTCCTGTGCTAGACAAAAAATTAGAACATGTTCTATTTTTCATGCTATTTTCTTGCAATTTATCGTTAAAATTCATGTTGCCAACATAACAATTTATAATAGATTACAGAATAAAACTTAACCTTATCTCTATCTTTAGCGTCCCTTACCCCACGTGTGTATTGTTGTGTTTTGATTTAAATTAAGTTTATTAAGTGGTGATAAATAGATATCCTTTGTCTAAAGTTAATTTAAAAACGACTGGGTGAGTTGTTGACTATGGATGATTGTTGCTACAACAGCAATATTCAACAATAACAATGTTTTCTTTTTTTTATTATAGTTGACATCCTTCACCCTTTTAATAACCATAAATATTGTATATTTATTATATTATTTATTGTAGTACTTAATTATATTTATTTAAAATAAAATAACCTCAAATTGATAAATATTTTCTCTGTTGGCAACAATGAAAGTGGGATCTAAAATTGCACAGAAATATCTCTGATTTAAAAAGGTCAAGCTAGGCAAGAGATGTGCCATGCAAGACGGACTTGCATAGCATGAGACTTGCATAGCCTAGATGTAAAGCTGCCTTTTAGGTAGGCCTTAGCTCAGACTGATCGACCGACCACGACCAAACCGTCCGACGGCGATCAACCAAATTTTATATTTTTATTTTTAAGAATATAAAGAATATTTTAGAATCGAAAATTATGATGCAACGTAAGTGAGAGTTAAGGCAGCCCTAGCTATAAGCAGAGCTTGGCTAAGCTGGAGCTTAAGATCTATTGTGCAACCAGGCAAATACATATTAAGGTGAAGTTACAGGTGCTCAAGGTTAAATACATAAATAACATAACATACATAAACAAAATAGTATGTGCCACAGAATAAGAAACAATCAGAATGCCCACTCTCAGATCACATAATAGTTTATTATTCTGTGCTCAGATGCCGCCTTTGAAGTTTTTCAGCACGCGATCGCCATGTTTTAGACGGAAACGTAGACTCGAATTGACAAATTTGTGACAAGCTATGACAGAACTGTAATTTAAATTTTTAGAAATTAATAATTTAGTACATTTGAAATAATTTAATCTATTCTTCAACTAAAAGTACGAATAAAATAGTGCATATTATGTCTGTAGTTGCCGTAAATAAATTAAACCGGGTTAATTTGTCTATGCACACCAGATAAAATGGCTGAACAGCACAGTTCCGTTTAAAACATGGCTGATTACGTCTGCACGAACGAGATGCGCGTACTTATTTTTTTAAGCAAAGTGGGCATTCTGATTGTTTATTATTCTGTCACCTGCCCACAGCCACCTTTACTTCCAAGCCATGAAGTAGAAATTTGGCAACAACGCGTGGTAGTCCGACTGCGGTTTGTTTTGGTTTAACATTTCATATAGGAAGGCTTGTAAAATTTGTTGAATTTATTGTTTTTTTAACTTTATTCGAATGTTTTATTTGTAAATTGTGTTTAAATCAATTAGAAAATATTAATATAAGTGAAATTTCATTAAATTTAGAACTTTTAGAAGATTCTTAACAACAATTTAAAAGGCAAGTATAAATATAACCTACAAAACAAACTGAAAATAATAATACTTTTGCTTCTTGTTACAAAATATGTAAACTAAAAACAATAATAATAATACTTTTGTTTTTTGTTATAGATGCTCTGGCATTGTTGTGTACCTGGTTGCAAAACCAATTATGCCATTACTTTAAAAATGAAACAGGCAGAAAGTATCTTTTTGTTTCCCAAAGATCCCCAAAGAAGGTATACTGGGTTATGCTCTATTCATAGAGAAGGCTGTACAATTGCCAAATCTTCCGTAATATGTGCCAAACATTTTCATGAAGATGATATTCAGCGGACTGAACAATGAGAAGATAAAGATGGAAATGTACACATTGAAAAGTTAATATTTCCCAAATTAAAAGGCAATGCAGTTCCTAATATATTTCCTGAAGTACCATCATATGTAACTGTTCATCGTACTAAAGAAAAAAGGAATCCCGAAGACAGAAGAAACTTTTTGCATAAGAAGAGGGAACAAGAGATAACATAATTATGTCAATTAGACTTAGACAATAATATCCCATTGAAAAACTGGACAAGTAAAATTACAAGTGACTGTGTATATTTCTATGTATTAAACATTAATCAGTTGGGACACAAGTGTGATAATATTTGTGTAATGTGTAGTGTAATAGTTAGCAGTAATTTTAGTGTAATTGTCAATGTAGGTAAGAATAGATTAAGTGGTAATGATTTGAAATGGATTTTACAATATAATAAATTAACAAGATGGTCACAATTAGAGAACTTACTTTCTCATTTAGATCTGCTTTTTAGATAAGTGATAACAAATTTGAGTATTACATTCAAAAATCTTTTGAGAATATAGGCTATTTTAAATCGATATACAAGTTATAAATGGTATGTTACATTCAACACATTTTTCATGTATACCTCTTTTAACTTGGTCTATATGACAACAAACCCATTCATATTTAAAATTTGTTTTTAATTTAACTGTTTGACACTGTATTTTAAGTGCAATAAATTTTACTCTAGTGATTATTTTATTGATAATATAACCTAAATAATAATAAAACTTTATATATATTTACTAGGTATATATAAGGTTTTATTAATTTAATTTCCCTAAAAATATTTCTGTAATGAATTGAAGTTTTCAAAATATCAGTTTCCTAAAATGTAAATTAGTTTAATATTCTTATTCTGGTAGACCTTACAGCTGATTATCGGACTACCGACGTCATAGAATGCGGTGTTGCCTTTTTTACTTCATGGCTTGGAAGTAAAGGTGGCTGTGCTCATACTCTTAATAGTAATTACTATCTCTGGTAATTACTAATCGATTATTCGATTCTGACAAAATGTTGATGATTTTCTTGGTTGCAACAATGTGTTCTGTGGTGGCACAGTAAATGTAACAAATGACATCTTATGAGGCCTTTAAAATATTAGCTGACAGTTAGACAGTTGTGCATAAAAGAGTAATTTAAGTATTTAAAACATTTAAGTTCGCACAAATAAATTAAATGCACAATGTTTCAGTTGTATACACATTGCAATAATTTATTACGTTAGAATAAAATATATTTTATTCTATTGGGGACACATTTTACAACTTATAATACGTAGTTGTATAATTATATGATTACTGGAATAGGAAAAGAATCAGAATTTGACGTATTTCCGTTTCGAGTACCACACTAACAAAACGAAGTCCTTAAAAACGTTCTTTATTTCCGCTTGACAGTCAAGAAAAGGTGTCAAGATGGTAAGTAGAAGTTTTTTTCCGAATTTCCAATGTTTCTTTGCAAAAATTGTATTATTATTCAGTCTAAACTCTTAAATATATAGGACCCTAATTTTGTGAGTAATGTGGTTTAATAATTTTTCTACTAGTTCAAGTAAACTAAACTCTAACCTATGAAACACATCAACACATGGCATTTGTAACAATTTCTAATTATTAAAATATTTTTTAAGACATGTAAGAGGCGTAATGGAGGGCGCTCCAAACACGGCCGTGGTCACGTAAAGCCGGTTAGATGCACCAACTGTGCTAGATGCGTTCCCAAGGATAAGGCCATCAAGAAATTCGTCATTAGAAACATTGTTGAGGCCGCCGCTGTTAGAGATATTACTGAGGCATCAGTATATCAAGGTAAAGTAGTTACAAATAATTCTTGTATTGTAAATCACATTTTGCTTTTTTTTTTTTTTTTTTCATGAAATCATAATTTAGGAAACGTTAAAACATTCACTGTAAATCTATTGTATGTGTGGCATATTTATTTTGCATTGTAACTTTATTTTACAATTCTATATATCTCTTTTTTTCAATTTATTTACTGTCATCAAAGTGTATTTCTCATAAAATTGTAGGATCTAACCCTATATCTTTGTCATTAATTTCTAAAATGAGTGTCTTTATGTAAACTGTCTTTTTACTTGCTATGAGGTGGTAGGTCAGTGCTTTGTGACACACATGGTATCCCATGAAATATGCATTGTTGAATATGAACTAAATTTTGAATATTTTCTTTATATATGACTCTTAATCTTCAAAAACATTCTCTAGCTTGTTTTTGCTAACAATATTTTATACATAAATTGTACCCACTCTCTGACTTTTTTAAAATGATTGATGATTTCCGTAAATATAATTTTTGATTACCCATTCAGCAATAATGCCACAATTACAAACCTAGAAATCATATTCTTTAATAAAAAAAGTATTAGTACAAGCACTAACCATATCTTTTATTAGAATTACTTCAACCCTTAAATCCTATAGTATAGGGATACAGCTGACAACTTTATACTATATGCTTAAGAAATACTAGTTATTTATACTGATGACATCCAGTGTACTTTTTTAATTCATATATAGAAAATTGAAACCAGCGTCTAAGTTAATATGTTATTCATTCTTTCAAACCATTTGTCAAAAGTTCCTACAATCAATGATGAAATTCTGCAACCACATGTGCATCAAGAACTCTGCAATTTAAAGATTATTTAATGTTACGTGTTAATGAGAAGATATTTGATACTTGGTCTGAGCTTTAAGTACCAATACTCTCTTATTTTCCCATTTTCAATATTAAATATCTATATCTAACCATTATTTTCTGTTGATTTTAAATCAAATTTATAGGTCATACAGAAACTTTAATCTTATGATAATATAAAGGAATGAATGAAGAGAATAGTAAGAGAGAAAAATGATTGAATTTAATTATAATATTTAATGAATTTGAACTTATTTACCTGTAATAAATGTATTGGCTTCCTGAGTGGTTTCTTTCATGGTTATCTTAATAAAAGAATTTCATTTGTTTTTATAAGGGTTGACTTTCAATTTCTATCTTGGTCAGTTCAGGGGTCCCACAAGGTTCACATGTGGGCCCTCTTGTCTTTAATTTGTTTATTAATGATATTTCTGAGATAATAAAGGTTTGTCAGTTTTTGCTATTTGCTGATGACCTTAAGTTATATTTTAAAGTTTCAAATCTTACTTCCCTGTATAATTGGTCTCTTTCCAATGTTCTCCAGTTAAATAAAGATAACTGTTTTGTTATATCCTTTAGCAAATTTAAAAATAATGTGTTTGACTATCACATTAATATAAGCCTTCTATCAAGAGTGACTGAAATAAAAGATTTGGGAGTGTTATTTGACAGTTCCTTGTCATTTATCCCCCACATCAACAATTTGTCAAATAAAGTTTACTGAAATCTAGGTTTTATTGCAAGAAACTCTTAAGATCTTTTAGTACCCATATATAGAATTTTATATTTTACTTTCGTCTGTAGCATCCTGTCATGTGCTTCTATAGTATGGTCACCATACTATTTTAACCATATTCACACCCTTGAAAAAATTCAAAATAAGTTTCTCTGGATTTGTGCTTATAGAATAAACTTAAAGAACATGTCTTCGGTAGAACTAAGGTCAAGGCTCAATATCAGTTCCTTAGAAGACTACAGAACTAAATGTGATCTAGTTTTTCTCCATAAACTACTTGACCATACCACTGCATGTTCTCGATTTATTAAGTCTTATCAACTGTAGATGTATCACTAGAATTCTTTGACATGCCTTTGTTTTCTATAAAATACTATCACACTAACTATGGCAAATTCTCTCTTAATAGGATTCAGACGACTTTAGCCAATGTCATGTCAGATTGGGAAATGACTTTAGCCAATCTCATGATCTGGTTGATATAAATAACAATAATTATTTAATACTTAGTTTTAGTATGTACTTGTATTATGGTTAGCATATTTTATTTTTGTTAAATTTTGGAAAAATGGTGACATCCCGTTTATAAATAAATAATTTTTTTTTTTTTCAGCTTATGTTCTCCCCAAGCTCTACGCGAAGCTCCACTACTGTGTATCCTGTGCTATCCACAGCAAAGTTGTGCGTAATAGAAGCAAGAAGGATAGAAGGGTCAGAACTCCCCCACAGAGAAATTTCCCTGGTAGGGACAATGCTAGACAACAGCAACAACAGCCTAGGAAGTAAACTGTTTCATTAGTTTTACAATAAAATTTAAGAAAAAGTTAATTGTTTTACTATTATTTAACTAGAAAAAATAATTTTTACCTACCTAGATAATCCTATTTTTTCTCATTAAGACCAAACATCCTTCTGTTGTGAAATGAAAAATAACTTTCAAAGTGTAGTTGTTTGATACATGAACTGCTAAAGTCAATAATCTAGTTTAGAACTACTAAAAAAAGAAGTTTTTGGAGGATATAAAAAAACTTATTTTTTGTGTCATAATTTTGATAATTAATGTTTAAAAAAAAATGATCCTGTAAAATTAAATCTTTTATGGAAAAATCATTTATTTCCATCTAAACTTTCAGTTGGAGAAGGTCCCAGTTTGAAACCTAATATATTGACCTAGGTAACAAAGACTATTGCAATCAATTTTGGTTGAATTGAGATCAGAGCATTTGAAAAGGTTTTGCTCCAAGAAATGACCTTATTTTTGGAAAAAATGTCTTACATATTTAAATTATTATATATAAAAGGTTTAAGTGATTTCACAGATTAAAAAACACATTTTTTTACTAACTAGATGGACTTACTATAGTTCTGTTATTGAAGCAATTAAGGAAAAAAAGATACTCTAGGTTTAGCAACAGATTTATTAAAACAACACTAATAAAAATTATTTCTAAAGTAAATCTGAAAAACTAAAATTGGAGTCTGGTTCATATTCTTCACTATGTATTGTCACTTTCTGCTTCCATATTTTTACTACTTTTAATCTTCTGTCCCTTTTGTATTTTGTGATGGATTCAATGGTTGCATAATGTAAATTCATTTTATATGACAATAAAACACAAACTTTGTTTTCAAAACTTCCACAAAATTTATTACAATATTACTACAGCTGTTTCGGCAGTGTCTTTCTCAAGTAATCTCTGTTATCAGAATAAGGAATAACCTTTTGACTTGCATTTTCCTTTTGATTTTTTAGAAAATTTAAAATAAAACTTCTTATTTTAATTGGTCATCTTTTCGCAATTATCCCATGCCACATATAACGGTAACCTTTGTGATTTTCCATCATAAATTGTGGCCAGTTAATTCTTGTAATCAGCCACATGTTTAGGGGTGTTACGAGGACTTTGTGTAAATTGAAATAAGTGGCACAAACTGACTTATCATATTCGCTGCCTCCTTTAAAATTCTGGCAGCTTTTTTAGTAGAGAGGTGTTTATTAAACTTATCTTCCATTTTAATTTTATTTTATAAGACTGCATTGGTCCTTTTTTGGTTTGAAAAATGCAAGATTGAGCTTTGCCTTTATTTGGTCTTGTAGAGTGCTTCCCTCTTCTATCTGCTTCAAGGAATCCAATTTTGCTTAAAGCAGTTGTTACCCACTGTTTGGATATCTCATGAGTATTGAGAGACATAGCTTTGCAAACCGGTATGTCATTGTTAAGAGCCAGCATATATTTTCTAGAGATATTTTGTTTTGATTTGCTGTTTGTTTTTCTCACCTGCTTTGTATTCCACTTTCTTAACGTACCTTCCTATGTAATCTCATTGTCTAGTGTGGTCACCTATTTTCCAAAATTCATCAAACAATATCTTTCTATTTTCCTCACTTATCTTCTCACACATTTATTCCTGTAGTCTTCTTTGCACGGATTCTTCATCTGTCTGACAGGAATAAGTTGAGCTTTATGGTTTTTGTGTTCGATGGCAAGCAGAGCCATATTTTTGGGTACTTTGGATAAAAATAAAAAACTACTTAAAACTTAAAAATTATTTAATTTTTTTTAATTTGCAAAAGTACATAGGACCATAATTTTGGTTCATTTGTGGTATAACTAAATGGCCGTATCTTAGCAAGTTTTTATCTGCATATTTGTACACTCGTCTAGTTTGCAGCAACGCAGGAGATAGATCTCTAAAATTAACATTCATCAATTAATAATAAAGTTTATTAAAATGTAACAGTCAATTTAAGACAAAAAACTATATGCTACCTGAAAAATTAAGTCGCAAATACATTGACTATTTTCTCACCAAAATTCCTTTGAGCTATTTTTTCTGTATGATAAGCTAAATTAATTCTCGAGAAAACGAAACTGAGAAGTTCAATGATTTCAACTGTTTGATAAGAACAAGCATATCGATGACATATAAAATATAGCAAAAATTTTCTATGCAGAAATTTATATCTGATTCATCTAATCCCTTGTTCTAAGGATTTGAGGCTAAATATTCAGTTAAAACTTGGTAATTATATTTTTTTAAATCATCATAGAATACATTATATTTATGAAACAAATTTAAATTGGCTGCATGTAACAATATAGGATAAGCTGAATGATGTTGCAAAGTATTCAATAAAATAGTTGAAATCTACACAACTAATCATGAACCATACAATAGTACAACTGCTTAAGAACTGGCATAGCACCAACCAAGTCAAATCTTAAAATTGGGACTACTGAACAGAAATGAAAGTGTGACTGAAGAAAAATACAGAACATAGGATATCTGCTAGCCTCCCTGAACTGTCAGCATAGATGCCCTCTCAATGATTTATGGAGAAATAAACAATTAGTAATAGACACAGTCCAATACTGGGACCAGAAATTATAGTTTTCTGGACAAGAGAAAGTAAAAAAGTATATTTTTGAATTCAAATAAAAAATCCAACAGCAAAAAGTTTCACACAGATGGTGTGGGAGACCTACAATAAAAATTTTGTCACCTATTATGTAAAAACTGCATTAGAAACAGTAAAAGAACTCCAAATATGGGATATGAACAGTAGAGTTGATGTTTCAGTTGAACTATTAATTATCAGTCCTAAGATAGGCTCATACATAATTTTTTTATATGGAAAGTCATTCACCTTCTGTGGAAATTCTTGTTCGTAACTTTTTTCGGTCGCTACTAGTTTACTTACTTTACAGCTATTTCCATATTAGTTTCTTCCCAGATTTGTTTCAAGGTCATATGTACAACTCCATCATTTTGGATAGGACTTAAAGAACATGTGGAGTAAACGACAACACCTCCTATTTTAACTAACTTCAAAGCTTGGAATAAAAGCTGTCTTTGTAGTTCAGGCAACTGAAGTCGTTCCTTTACTCTTGATGGTTTGAAGATATTATTGTCATTTTCATGAAGGGAATGTCGATCAGTTGTACAAGGAACATCTACCTAAAACATAAGAAAAAGTTGTGCCATAAAACCTTATTAAAATAGCATTAACTATTTTCTATATCTTAAGAATACTTACAAGTATTCTATCAAAATCATATTCTTCCATATATCTACCATCCATATTACTTAATCTAATTTTTCCTGTTTTGAGCCATTTTTCTTCAAAATCAAACAGAAATTGATTGTATACACTATCAATTCTATTAACTCTAGAGTTAGAAACATCATTTGAAACAATACATGAAGGATACAGAGTTTGTAATGCTAATAAACTTTTGCCACCAGGAGCAGAACACATATCTAAAACTTTGTGTCCTGGTTTTATATCCAAAGCTAAAACTGGAAGGACTGAACCACCATCCATTAAATAGTAATTATATACATCTAGAACAAAAAAAAATATATAGTTATAGTATTTAAATAACTGTCATTGTTAAACTTTTAACCAGAATCATATTTGATGCTACGAAAGCAATAGTGGACTAATCCATAAAAACCAGTTTTCTACTTTGAAAAAATTGTGTCTTTTATTGTAAGGCATAAATTGAAAGACTGACCAAGCACGCTTTTCAAATGCTATATTACATAGATAGCAGTATAACCTTAGTGTTTTTTTTTTTTGAGATTTTGAATTTGCTGCAAAAGCAAACCCACTTTGATGCCAAGTATTGTCTGGTACCCACAAAAATTAAGCATGTGTTAAGACTAATGACACCTTGCTTTGTTGTAAAATTTAGTTACCATAAAAGTGCAACATAAATTGGACCAGGAGGGGGGCTTCAGACCTCAGCAGTGTTTTGTAATTAATTTTTTCTTGAGTGGAATTGTTTTTAAGTCCATACTATACTCTATTTGTAAGGTTTATTTGCATTGATCTGTAGTAAATAGTCTAGCCATCCTTAATTCTTGTGTCTCAGACTGCCTTCTCCAAGGCTATATTAAATATGTGACAAGCCATCACATCCCCTTGTCTGAGTCCAACTCGAAAGTTCTTGAACTCTCTCCCTGTATCCTAACACTTGCTTTTAAGTAATACATTATCATTCTCGTGAGTCAGCAAAGTTTTTCTGATATATCAAACCAAATAGTGCTATTCTCTTAACATTGATTCTGTCATATGTGGCCTTGAAGTCAAAGAATGTGTGATGGTTTGCAATATTAAATTTTAATGTCTTTTCGAGGATCTGTCCAATTAATGAATCTGATCAATTGTTGATTTTTCTGGAGTGAATTTGGCCTCATATTTTCCAATTATACCCACTCTATAATCTTGTAGCCTTTCATAAGGAATACCTATTTGCTAGTATTTTGCAAGCAGTTGTTAACAGTGTTATAAATACCTCTGTGGGTATTTTATGTGTGTAGCGTTTTAATCTTTTCGTGCATATCTAGAAAGTATATAGGGTGTAAGTTTGCTTAGTTTGAAATTTATGACATTTGTTAATTTATCTTTCTTTGAACTTTATGTGTTCATTTAAGGAAATATTAGAACTAAGGCAAGAGGCAACAATACAACTGTAAGTCATTTGTACATTTAGTGTAACTTCATAACATAACATAACAATATCTTTATTTTTAGAAAATAATATACATTCCGTGAGCATAAAATTATTAAAAAAAACAGTGTCACAAACGAAAATATTATTTACTTATTCCTAACTGTTACATATACAAATAGTCCTCCACAGAATATGGCTCAAGAGCTACCAGTAATTTAAATATTTGATGTTTATACAAACTTAATCTTTTCTCCCTTTTAATAGGTTCAGGCAGTTTATTAAACAATTTGATGCAGCAATAAAGAGAGTTTTTTTTCTGTTATACTTAACCTGTGTATTGGAATTTGATAATTATATAACCTGGTATTTACTATACTATTGGGCTTAAAGTTCCTAAAGAGTATTTTATTTTTATATAGAAACAGTAAGCATCTTGAATAAATACAGCGTAAACTGTTAAAATATTATTACTCCTAAAATGCCCTCTACATAATTCCCTACTTTTTAAGTCAAACATAACTCTGATTATTTTTTTTCTGAACCAGAAATACATTATTTATGTCCCTACTGTGGCCAAAATTTATTAGACCATATCTAAATTTTGCTTCAAAATTAGCATGATACACTGTTTTTAATTAACTTACTATTCATGTATTTTTTTAGAACTCTAAAGCTGTAAATCACTTTACTCAAAGACATACATAACTGGTCAACATGTTTATCCCAACATAAAAAACTGTCAATATATAATCCTAAAAATTTGGTACTGCTGCTAATATTTAAAGTGTCATTATTTACAATAATACTGTATGGCATATCTGAATGTGCATAATTTGTCTTAAACAAAAGAAGATTTGTTTTATTTTGATTTAAAACCAACCTATTCATAAAAACCAGTCTTTAGCTTTCTGGAACTCTAAACTAGCATTAAGGCTTAGAACAGACATGTCTTTACCACTGACTAAAATGTTTGTATCATCTGCATAATTTGTTATGCTGGAAGTAGTATTAGCCACTAGACCATGAAGATCATTGATATAGATCACAAACAGTAAAGGACCAATCACACTTCCTTGTGGTACTCCAATATTGATAGTGCTTTCAGATGAGATGCCTATTTCAGTGTTTTTATGTATTTTTACTAAATGTCTCCTATTTGCCAAGTAGCACTTAAACCAGTTCAATGCTGGTCCATGTATACCATATTTCTCCAATTTATCAAATAATATGTCATGCACTAAACAGTCATGCCTTTGATAGGTCCAAAAAGAGACCCAAAGCCATATGACCAATCTCAGTACATTTCAAATATCCCAGACAAATTGAAAAATCACAGTCTGAGTTGATTTTCCTGTTGATAACCATGCTGATTTGTACTAATAATATGACATTTTGTTAAAAATTCTGCTATCTGCCTATACATAGTCATTTCTAAGATTTTTGAAAAGGAACATAGAAGGCTAATTGGTCTATAGTTATTAATTAATTTAGGATCACCCTTTTTGTAAACAGGTGTTACTATGGCAGTTTTCAGGCATTCAGGAAATACACCAGATTTTAGTGAATTATTTATAATTGTAGTGAGAGGATTCACTATCTCCTTTTATACAAAGTTTAAGGATTTTAGTGGGTATTTCATCAATTCCACAACTCATTTTGTTTTTTAAATTTTAAGTTATATCCATAATTTCAGTTTCTGTCACAGGTGCGACAAACACTGAACTTATGTTACTTGCAATGTTGTCTTCTGAATCATATTCTGACTTTAATGTAGCAAAAATTGCTATTATAGGTATCCTAGGGAATAAACATGATCAGCAACAAAAACTTTTAAAGTTGGAGATGAGGATATACTATATTTGCAGATACATGATATTTGTATGTATCATAGCAATTATCACAATTCTAACAAGTGATATGACCTTAGAAATCTTTGGTTTTCTGAGTAAATTTAAAAGACCAGTTAACTTAATGATAATGATTTAAAACATAAGCCCATAAAGACATACAACAGATTTTAAGAGCACATACAAAGTAGGTACTTACCAGTTATTGATTTTTTTGGTGATTCAAAACCACTTTTATTTCCTTCTTCATAACAATATATATCTAGATGGTCTGGAAAATTAAAATCAAATTCTTTTTCTATTTGTACCCCAAATTGGGTATTCTGATCATACAAATTATAATGACTAGATTCCAATATAAAATCTTCCTTTCCTTTAATTTTTGTTGCTGGAATATATTCATGCAAAACCTCCATCGATAGAGCATTTTCAGTGTCTACCATTCTTCTTGTATCAATTTCAGCTTTTTCAAGACTACTTTTTAAAGAAAAATCTTTAGCTTCAAACTTTTTAGGTGTAGGATTTTCTTTTACAGCTTCATCAATTTTTTCGTTTAACTGTTCATCTATTCTAAAAACTTCTTCTAATAATCGATCTTTCTTGTTGTTTGCAATCTCTTCTTTCAGATAACCTTTTTCTAAGTTAAATAATGTTCGCATATTCAAAGCTCCTTTTAATTCCAAGTCATACTTTGTTTCTTGAATATCGCCATAATAATTGAGAACAGCTACATACTTATGTTTTCCTAATAATGCTTTTCGAATTGACAACCATTTCGTATCAAAAACTTGTTGGTAAAAATCATCAAAATGGTTTAGAGCTTTGTCTACAGGGTTTACTTTCTTTCTAACAACAGACTGAAAATACCAGAAATAAAGTATAAACAAAATAATTGATTAAATCTTTACATACCCAATGATGTGCAGGATGTTTATATCTAACAAACTTTTTTGTTTCTCGCGTTATGTGCTTAAAAATACTGTAAGAAAACATTTGATTTAAATCTTTGAATTAGACTTTAAATTATTTATTTATATTTGCATTTCATTGGTTAAATTCTTACTTCTTTTTTATATTATGCATGTGGCCACCTTCCATTTTTTAATTGGAATATACAGCTCCAATGAGGCGCTATATTGCTATTCTTTTTTATATAATTATTCCCGAACAAAAAATTATCTATCGTTTTGTTCAATTTTACATATTCGTAAGTACCCATTTTTTTCTATTTATCATTGTTTAGTGCTTTCATCAAGGAAATAAAATGAAAATGATTTTATTTTTTGTTTTTGTTTTCGGTAACCACAAACCATACATTCTCGAGAGTATGGTTTATGGTTTGTGTCGGTAACTGCCAACTGGACTGTCACAAGAAAAACTTGTCGATTATTTCGATAATCGAATGTTCGATTTATTTCTCGATCGAGCGATTTCATCACTCGAATTCTGATGCCATGCCATATGCCATCATCATAACATCCATCTAATATTATGACAAAAAATTAAATAATAAGTACCTAATTCTTGAGTACCTACAATACATTGTATAATTTGTGTGTTTATGATTTTAGGAATTAAATATAAAAAAATGAGTAATAGGATTCAAGGCTCCAGTGCAAACGGTAATACACCTGAATTGTGTTTAAATTTTAATCCTTTCTTACTTCAAATGAATAAAAGCACCAAAAGTATGGCTACAAAACACTATTTGTCCAATATATTTTTTCTTAAATTAAAGTACTTTAAATGTATCAGTATTTATTAGGTTCTCACGCAGCGAAGAGAGAAAGGTCACGATCTCGATCACCAAGAAGAAATGAGGACAGATTACAGCATAAAAGGGACATTAAAGATGAAGCAAAAGATGAGACCCAAAGTTCCAAATCAGCAGATGTATGTATATATTATATATAAAATTGTGTTTAACTACTGCTTATGATTTTTCACTGCTATTGTCTTGCTTTAGATTGGATGTTATTTCCTGTGATCTAAGATTTGTATATCCTCTTTTCATATTCTTCTAAGACTTTCTGGTTCATTTTCCAGGAACTGACAATTTTTATGATTTATTTAAACCTTAAATCTTCTTGTTTAAAAATGAATACAATGTTTTCATTTTTACCTTTTTATTGATTTACCTTGCAATCTTACCCTATTATACATCATATAAGTATATGAATACTGCTTTCATTTTCTTTAGATATATCCTCTTAGCAGATAGAATCTGTTTTATAGAATTGTAAATAGCATTTACTACACCAAATTGTGTGATTTTTCTTGAATATTTACTTGAAACAGTATTTTATTAAATTGTTGGTCTATATTATATCGACCATCTGGAAGAAGAGGGTTATAACTAAAAAAAAAATTTTCCAGTAGAGCTATTTAAACATTTTTTGCAACAAAATGTTTGATACTGTTGACATCCTTTAAACTCTAAAATTGGTTCTATTGCATATATCTTTTATCTTTCACTTCAAATGTTGGACTGTACAATATTCCACAAAATAGTAGTTTTAGAAAAATAATAAATAATGGTTAATAATTAGTAAATTTTATTATATATCTTGTAACAAAACTTTAGGGCTTATAGATGTACCAATATTATCTTTATCTTAATGATTTTATATATTTCTTTTATTAATATACTTAAAATAGTTGTTTACCTAACATTGCTTTTATGAGCAATTATTTCTTATTGCAGAAAAATATAAAACAGCCAGAGACAGAATGTAGCTTCTATACAATATGTAGCTTCTCCTTATAAATTTTAAAGTGTTTGTTTGTCTTAGTGTATTGTATTTTGTATTGTTATGTCCAAATTTTACATTTATGACATTCTACTATGTCGGATAGGCCACAACTGACGAAATGCCCCTGAAGATGATCTATTGATCGAAAGTACTTGGGCAAGATTAAATTAATCACTGTGTTCGATAGTTGCCTTGTATACCCTCAAAGTTTAATTATTCGAACATTCAACCTTATATTGATCTATGCATTTGTTAATTTCTTTTTATATCCTGTTTTTTGCTTACAATTTTTCTGATTATTTTAGCTTGTTTTTCAGTTATAAATACTTTTTCTTTTCTATAGAACGTAGGCTTAGGAGCTAAAAATAGATTAAAAAGTATAAGTATACAGATGAAATTAGGCGATTCAAAGAAAGCTCAACTTCCTAAACCAAAAATGACAGTGGCCAATGTTTTCAACCAAGATAGCGACAGTGAACCTGAAGAAATGCCGGCCATTGCTAGAATGCGGATGAAGAACATAGGAAGGTAAGAGCATGTTGTATTATGGTTTGCTTTAGTTTTTGTTTTAAGCATCTGAACAGGCATGTCAAGAACAACAGCTTGAGTATGAATAAAAACGTTATATATTCTTCACTCTCTAAACTTGTACTGTTCAGACTATTCTTCATTTATGCGTCATCCACGATTTTTTATTAAATTTATATGTGACAGGAGGCTGATTTACACCTCTGAAACATCGTGGTTTTTGAGATTTCTCAATAACTACTAACTTCCTTTTTTTCAGAACCGGACATGTTGACACATGCGAGTACAGTTACCCTTTTTTTGATAACTTGTCACATATACAACGTTCATTTTTGAATTTGATGGTCTTATCTGGAGTAAGTTTAAAAAAAGTCCCAGCTCGTTGGCATTGAAAACATTATCGTCACTGTAATTTTGTCTTAGTGTAGCCCATAACCTCAACCAATTGTCGGTGACTTCTTTGGAAACACTTTTCGTTTCACCACAAATTTTTCCACACATACTTTCGTGCCTGACCTTAAAATGGTTCATCCACCCTCTCGATGCTTTAAAATTCTCATATTACCACCTAGCGCCTGCGAACACTGTGTTGCTTTTTTTTTGAAGCAGTGGTCCAATTATTGGAACATTCGCAGCCCTGTTACGGTACACCATTTGACCATTGCAGTATTGAGTTCTTTATTAGTTACCGCACATAGTTTTTTCAATTTACCGAAAAAGGAACTTGCTTTGAAAATCTTGTGATTATTTTTGAGCATGGTAGATGAAGTGGAACGTGAAATTCCTCTTTCACGACAAACTTCTGCTTTCTTCTTACCATTCCCAACATCTTTAAGGATGTTAATTTTTTCTTCTAAAGTAAATGCTTTTCTTTTAGGAGTCATAGTGTGTAATCTATTCTTCTTAGGATGCCGTCTCCATACGGAGGTTGGCAATCATAATGGCTATTTTTATTTTAGAACTTGCTGCTCTAAACAAATTAATTGATCTGCATTGGTACCAATCACGTAGATTCTTTAACCATGAGTTCTGCCTTCAGCCAACAGATCTTCTTCCTTGAATCTTTCCCTGTATTATCAGTCTCAAAATTTCATATTTTGGTCCCCTCATCACGTGGCCTAGGTATTCCAGTTTTCTGGTTTGTATAGTGGTGATTAGTTCTGTTTCTTTACCAACCTCTTCAGTACTTCTTTATTTGTAATTCTATCAGTCCATGATATTTTCAATAATCTGCGGTATAACCAGAGTTTGAAGGCCTCGATTCTTTTTAAATTACATTTTTTTAATGTCCAAGTCTCAGCTCCATATAATAATATTGAAAATATATAACAGTGAATGGTACGTAGTCTGATCTCCAAATTTAGATTTTTGCACGTAAGGAGTGGCTTCATTCGTATAAATGCTGATCTGGCAATCTCTATTCGTCTGTTTATTTCTACAGTATGATCATTGGTTTCATTGATCAAAGTTCCCAAATACTGATATTTTTCTACTTGTTCTATCACGTTACCATTTATTGTCAATAGTGATGTATATTTTGTGGCCTTTTTGTAATCAGCATGTACTTCGTTTTTTTAGCGTTTATAGTAATTCCCATCTCAGCACTATTTATACTCAAGCTTTCGATAAGATGTTGTAGATCCTCTATACTCGTTGCTATGATCACAGTGTCGTCTGCATATCTTAAATTATTAATTAATTTTCCGTTAACGGTGACTCCCGCTTCGATATTATTGAGCGTGTTTTGGAAAATTTCTTCAGAATATAAGTTAAACAAAAGTGGTGATAACACACATCCCTGTCTAACTCCTCTACAGATCCTCATTTCTTCTGAGTGTTGCCCATCAATTTGAACTATGGCACTTTGGTTCCAATATAATGTTTGCACTATATTTATGATTTTACTGTCAATGCGCTTGTTCATAGGTATTGCTATTAGTTTTTCATGTCTTACTTTATCGAAAGCTTTTTCGTAGTCAACGAAGCACAAGTGTAGATCAACATTTACATCCCGACATCGCTGAATTAATATGTTGATGGCAAATAGTCCTTCTCGAGTACCCATTCCATTTCGGAACCCGAACTGCGTCTCGCTAATATCCTCCTCTAGCCTTTCGTATATTCTCTTATGTATTATTTTTAGCAGAACTTTTAAAGTATGACTCATGAGGCTCAGTGTTCGATAATCAGAGCACTCTTTGCACTCTCTTTGTGTAATCTATGTGACTATGTAATCTACAACACAACTTTCAAGACGTGATAGCATAATCAGGAAACAAACGACAAACATCTAGCATAACAACTACTGTGAAATGAAATTCTGGTGAAATTTGTTTCATTTGTCATGTTTTTAAGCCTCTTTACATAGTTTATTAGGTGCGAATGGTTAAACCCCTACACTGACACTTGTGACTCATAATTGTAAATTTCCAACAACACAATATCGGTCGGTAGATTAAACAGAAGTTTATTGCGGGCGGCAGTTAAAAAGGGTATTTATTTATAGCCACAGTCGGGCCAAAAACGTAAAAAAACACGTTTTTCGATCTTATTTTCTCTCGCTATAACCAAATTTGCTTCCCTATAGAAGGTTATAGTTCAATAGAAATTTCACGGGACATCTAATGTATCTCGTTATAAGCGAAACCTCGTAATAACCGAGTTCGTTATAGAGGGAGTATACTGTATGATATTCAATGTAGTCCATACACACATTATTATTTATACAGTTTCAGCAATATGTACAAACTAGTGGCCAAATATTCACAATTATCTCCAAGACATACAATTAATTACACATATTACATACTTACATACGGAATAATTATTATGTTTATTTTTAGGGACACACCAACGTCATCTGGTCCCAACTCTTTTGGTAAAACAAAGCATGGATTTTCCGATGCTAAAAAGTTGTTTGAAAAGACTCTAAAAGAAGCAATGGAGAGTGCAAGAGCTGACGATTAACTTATTATAATTTATGAAGTGCAAAAATATTGTTTAAAAAACTTTTATATTTAAGATAGGTAAATTTTTTAATTACAAATTACGGTCCACCAACAAAATTTATGAAGCATTTTTTCTCTTGTAGTGGTTTCATTTCAGTAATAATAGCCACTGATTTTTAATCAAACCACAAAATCCGTAAAATTTTAATAGTAAAATTCTTATAATAATTGAATCGGTGAGTGGAAAAACGATATAACTCCAAAATCATGCATTTGAGATAACCTCAAAAAACTGTTTATTTTAAAAAGTATACATTACACAAGAAATATATACATTGCAAGTTTGAGGACAATCAAATTCTTTAGACGAATGTAAAAAAAAATTATTTTTGTTTTTTAATAAACGACTTGTGTGCCCAAACGTCACTTGGAGTTATACCGTTTTTCCACTCAACATTAAAAATGCGTTGAAATATTTACGTTATTAATAAAATAAAACAACAAATTTGAATAACGTGTATTATTTGTAAGATATTTGGCCATAAAGTTTTTAGAACGTAAAAGCATTATCATTTTTGAAAGGACCTAAAAGAAATGGTACTTATTGGTCTTCCTGAGTCGCCTCAGCGTCAACATTTAATGCTTTCCCATAACGTAATGTGATAATAAAATTCCAAAATTTCTCCTGTCATGTATCGCATTACATTTTTAAGATTATCAATTTTTTTATATTGATTGGTAATGTTTTAGTGTATGCAGGATTGGTTGGTAAAATGTAGGTTGCTTTATGTTGTGACTAACTTGAAACTTCTTGTGATGAATCCGCCAACATAATTGCTAGTTATGGTGTACCCTGGTGTAGAACTACCATAAGTAAATTGCCTGTAATGTGATATTGTAAATTTATCTTTTGTTCCATCGGAAGACTGGGTGATTTTTTTTGTAGTGGTTCTGCCACCAATTTTTGTAGTCAATTATGTCTTTATGGCATATTGTTGAAATCGTAAACGGCTTTAATTTGAGACAAGACAGCATCATATTTTCGTAATATTCTGGAAGATATATTCTATCGTTTTTTCTTACCACTCTATTCAAAGTTCCAAAGTAACTGTCACATGGCAACAAAGAGTGACCACGCAATGGGAAGTAGTGAAAAATGGTACGAAATCGCTTTAAAGCTGCAAGAGCTAATAAATATCTGACTACAGTCTTGTTCCGGTTTTAGCCTGGACAACTATTAGAAAATATGTGGAGCTCTTGAATCTTTGCTGGCATTTTCTGTAGATAATCATTAACAAACGTACATACCTCATTAAGGCCTTTCGCTGCTTGTCCTTCATGGTATGTATAAAAATGTCCAGTACCGTTTTAAATCGTGTATTTCGAACATATAATATATCCACAACTGTCTGTAATAAAACATTTCTTGAACAGGTATAACAGGCAAGGGCATATTTTGAATATAATCAAAAACTATTCAGCCAACATCTTCTCTTTCATGGCATAAGGTAGAGATTTCCATAAGTTTTGAGTAAAATTTGTTAGCTCTTCGTTTATGGACTACTAATTCGGCAGTGGCAACTCTCTTTGCGTTTTCGTTTATATTCACATCTTTAAGTTTTGTGCCCAACTCTTCGCATTGTCCGCAAACATCAACTTTGGGCCGCCCAAATTTCAATACAAAATTTTTTAGATAATATTCTTCATAATCTTAACGTTTAAGGTATAATCAAGATAGGTGAACTTTTGAACTGTAGTGAGATGTTTTTTGAGGAAACGATTCAATATGTTCTCCATAGGCAATATTGAGTGGAAAAACGATATGAGTTGTATCGTTATTCCACTCAATGCCAAATTGTACCTAGCTTTTAAAGCGTATACTTAACGGATATTGTACGGTTCTTCGACTCAGCAGGTATATCGATAGTTAAAAAGCATCTTCGCTTGAAATGTCAATTTTTGGAGTTATATCGTTTTTCCACTCACCGATTCATGAAAACAGATATGCATTTCATATCTGTTTTCATTCCGAATTATATTGCTCAGATGTTTGTGTTTTTTAACTGTTTAAAAAACTTCTATGTCTTTATTTGTCTTCCTAATACTTTTTCAACATTTTCAAAGTCTTTAGTTTTGTTTTCCGATTTCCATGTTCACTTTTCAATAATGTGTGTTAGTCGTAAAACATTAATATAACAAACTATACTTCATCTAATTTAGATAACGACTTACGTCATTATCTACGTCAGAGATCGAAGTTGACATAGTTGCCAAAGTATAAAAAAATCCTGACTCCATTTTAAATCAAATAGGTCACATAATTATTGCAAAAGTATTACCATCTCTTTACAACGACTATTTAAATTCTTACGTGACATTATTGAAATAAAACAAACTAATTTGGTTCTAAAAAGAACATATTTTATTAAATAGGTAAAAATATAAAACAAGAGGTATTCACTTTAAAATTTAAAATAATAAAGTACAAAAAGTGTCAACACCGCAACTGTCAAATAAGTGTTACCAATTTATGCCAAAATTTTACCTTCGTTCGATTACAGTTACAGTGTGTTCCGAACAAATGTTCTTGATAAAAACTCTTTATAATGGATTTATACAAATTAAATGAAACATATTATTGTGTATTTCTTTAAGTTAACATTAATAGAAATTTTTAAATATTATTTCAACGCGTATATAATAAAATATGTCTAGTGGCTGTAATGCCAGTGTACTCGGTAAAGTGATTCTAAAAAGAACACACCTAAACCCTAAATATTTCGTGTTGGTATCATATGACGTCACAGGCTATGACGCCGATGACGTGCATCGTTATATAAATTAGATGAAGTGTATATGTCTATAAAGATATACGCCTAAGCATTGGCACTTGACTGATTTATTACTCTCTCCCAATACCAAATAACGTTTGTTATTGGTATTGGGTTGTATGTAACGAAGTTTGTTGGTTGACTTGTTTATTCTTTATTTTTTTACCTTTGTTAAAATCTAACCATTGTTGGTGAAACTGTATTTTGTAGAATGGTTGTACCTGCGAGCAAAAGTATATTTTGTGATTATAGTTTATTTTATTTTTTGTTGTTGAGATTTCTGAAATTCCAACACTATTATTGATATAATTTGAAGTCAGTTAGTGACATAGAGATAATTTTAAGAAATATTTTTGCACAGTTAGTCTTTTTTAGTCAATTCAAAATTAAATATTATTTTAAAATATTTTAATAGTAAGTTATGTTCATTAACTCTTGTAAAAATTGCGTCACAATAGCACTATGGTTAGTTTTATAAGATACTAACTTTATTTATTTAATTATTGTTGAGTGTATGTACCCATTACATACATATTAATAGATTAACTGACATGTTGTATATTACAACTACTATTAAACAAACATTTAAAAACATTTCTAAGCTGATTTTTTTCTAGATTTATAACCCATTTTATATTATGCATACATTTATGCACAATGTTTTGATCGAATTCTTCCATAAAAATGTCTTGGATAACAAGTATAAGTAAAACATTACAACATTCAAAACAACCAATACACAGATCTATCCTATCCAAAACCAAACCCAACAAATATTAAAGAATGCATCTATAAAATAAACCGTTAATGCAACAATTTCTATGTGGGAGAAACCGCAAGACCACTAAGTGTCAGGATAAACAAGCATGAAACGTACATCAAGAACAGAGACTTCGAGAAATCATAGATATGCAAACATGTATGTGAAAATCTTATTTAATGAAGAACAATGTGTAGCAAACCTATCAGCAGAGTGAGCAGGCTCTGATTACGAATACTGAAAGAAGAATTCAGTAACATGAATATACCAACATTAGCGGATTAATAAAAATTACATCATCTACAATTATACATAATATACATATACAACACGCAGTACTTAAATACATAAACACACAGAACAGAATTTGATATCATCCTCGGTACCATGATATAAGGAAACATGGTATGCTCACGCGCATCTATTTTGAACAGCCAATCGCGTTTACGACAAAAATCCGCCATTTTGAAGGCGGCAATTCAAATATGTACAAAATTGATAAAAAATATCGTAGTTAAATTAAATAAAATAAAATTAATATTATACATTAATCCAATTAATTCAGATTTAAAATGATCTGAACAGACTCTTGCTAAAATAATTTTTAAAAAATCGAAACAAATTTACTTTTAAATTCCAATATGTACATTGCAAAGTAAGGTTAAAAAATGCAAAACAAAGCAGACGTCAAGCATGTAGAGGTGGTTGATCCAAGTATTTCTGTGGATCAGTTCAAACTGATACGTGTAAACCATGATACTAAGACTTCCAAGATAAACCCACTTCGCAATCGAATTTTGTACATCGACGCGCATGACGTCAATTGGTGATAAAAGTCACTTTTATCACCAACCTTTTATCATCACAGTCGGTAAAACATATATGGAAAGAAAGGGGTTTTTATTTAAATATTTAGAATATTAAGGGATGTTAGGTTCTGCAATTAAATCTTAAAAATATGTTATATATACATCTCTGTTAGCCTAGCAACGTAAACTAAAATTATATAAAAAAGTAAGAACTAAACATCCTTTTGCAAATGGAAATTTATATACAATGGATTGATTTATTAAAATAAAAATTTAATACAACTGATAAAATAAAATACACTGTAATAATTTACAAGTTTATTTAACAATTTATTTTACAATTTTTAATATTTTCTTCTTCTTAACTTTGGATGTTTCTTTAATATATCTATTCAATTTTCTAATTTTAAAATATAATTTACACCTTTACTAACATTACATCTGAACACAGCTAAATTTATTAGCGATTTTAAATAATTCTTGGTTAATTTTAATGACCCTTTGTTAAAATTGTTAAAAATATGGTCCAGTTCATTACATTTAATTAGAAAATCTGGATATGGTTTAAGTAAACCTCCTTCGGAAAGATGGTTTACCCAGTAAACCGATGTTAACGTACAAGATAAACGATAAAACAA